CGCACACACGCACACACGCACACACGCACACACGCATACACGCACACACGCACACACGCACACGCGCACGCCAATGCTTATTGCTGCACATTCGACAAAGCGCACGTATCACGTGCCGCCTTTACTGCACGGCTTTGAGGAGCGCAGCTTGTCCAATAAAGACCATAGGAAAATTTATACCTGGGATCGCGTCACTCTGCCGGCTAGTCTGTCGCCGTCCATTAACTCCACGAAATCGTACTGCGTGTGCGTGGGACGCTTGTGACGTCTCGCGTAGACGGCCATCTTGGCTTCCTTGGGCAGAGTGAAGTTGAACCTGCGGGCGCGTCGACAAGAAGAACACTAATGACGCGAAACTCGATCTAGGCTCGGGCGCATAGTTCAGACTTGTCACCTTACACGAGCTATTAACACGCCGATGTCGAAGTAATAAGATTACAGAACAAATATGGCGGCTCGTTATAACGGTGTACGTAAGACATGTCGCTCAACACTGCCGACGAGAGGACAAGGAGAACATAGAGGACAATATAACTTTATATTAACGACCACATTATACAATTTCACGTTTTAATAACAAATACATTATTATTATTATTATTATTATTATTATTATTATTTCCTAAAAGCACGTTAGAAAAGATTAACCTTGTTAGCTTGATCTATTTTTGGTTCTAATAATTAATATTATCTCTCAGAGACATAAAGCTGGGTCGGCTCCTGTGCATCCTGCACGAGGTTAACACATTATATCGACGAATACGTGGATAGACAATAAATAGTTTGTGTATCAACGTATACTACACATGTCGACTGTGAATGAGCCGACCGAGCGCCGTGCACTTACTTCACGTAGGTGTTCTCGTTGAGTTGGAACTGTGTCTTCAGCCAGCCGTTAGCCGGTACTTGCTGAGTGAGATGATTGCCCAGCTGGAACACCACCGTCACGTCCGACGCGCCACCTGTAGCCATCTGAAGCAACGGCAAAGAACAACGTAAAAATCTTGAAGAAACCGCACCGGCGAACTTCCTCGAATGTTGTCGAAGCAGGAAACGGTGAGGAACAACGTGAACGCCAGAGGAACGCTGACAGTGAACATCTCTACACAGTGCAAGTTATAGTCGAAACAAGGAATGGCGAGGAACAAGATGAACGCCAGAGGAACGCTGACAGTGAACATCTCTACACAGTGCAAGTTATAGTTGAAACAAGGAACGGCGAGGAACAAGGTGAACGCCAGAGGAACGCTGACAGTGAACATCTCCGGAGAATGCGAGCCGACAGCGAGAACCCTCCGCGCGGCGTCGATCGTAAATCCTGAAAGGTTAGCTTCGTCTTCGTCGAGCAAACGTGAATTTTTAACGAGCCGCGGCTCCGCCGAGATCTCGCGCTACTCTCCCTCACACACACCGGTTACATCGTGCTTATCGATTCCTAATGCAATTCTGATAGAGCGCTCGCAACATCTTAAACACGCCGACGTGAGGGTGGTGGGGCGTAACATCTGTAATTTGTTTCCCTCGGTAGGCTTACGTGTTGTAACTCAATGTGGTGACATCTCGCAACCACGATAAGGCGCATTAAAAACGCAGCGTCTAAATGCGCCGGAGTTCGGTCTCAAAGCTTCGACAAGAAAAATCCACGAAAAACAAAGCAGGCGTAAAGCATTTACGTGAGGTGTGCGAAACGGTGAATGATTGGTGGATAGTGACGCTCGCGAACCTACATACATTGACTAAACCTGCAATGAACCTAACGTTAGTCCTTGCTCAGCTTTCACCCAAACGGTAAGATTAGTAATACTCCTAAAGCTATATCTAACTGTAACCTAACCCCTAACCTTAAAGTTCACTCGCAACAATAACCTTACATCTAATACTATATAACTACAGCTATAACTACAATATTATAACTACAGCTCAAATCTGCAACCGATGCCCCTCTAGGAGTCTCACCGTAGGAATGTATCTTGTCTGTGGGGTGACCGGTCTAGCCAGCCCGTCTCCCGGGAAACCTGACTCTCCGCTGTTGTCCTTCACGTAACCGCCACCGGCGGCGCTGCTGTCGAACTCCGATTCCGTCGGGCCGCCCTCGAGGATCCAGTTCACGTTAATGGCCATCATAGCTGCGGGAGAAAAGCGCAGGATATCACAGTCAGACCTAGCATTCGCTGCGATTGTCGCTACTCGCACTGTTCTGGGAGTAACTCCGTCATTCACGCCTTGTTTTTTTTATAGATTCTCGACTGCGAGACAAATTTGTTAATTTAATGCCGAGCGTTTCGACCTAAATTGACCTATTCTGCTTAATTTCCCCCTAGCATATGAGTTACGGGTTCTTCTAATGTTAATGTTAATCGAACTCTCGTAATCTGACGAGCCGCACAGTTAACTGTCGGCCGCACGTGATATACGGCCCTGCGGCACAACGCCGTCGTCATCGTCGCCGCCGCCGCCGCCGCCGCCGCCGCCGCCGCCACCGCCACCGCAGCAGCAGCAGCACGCGTGATTACTTAAGACGTAAAAATATATCGATTTGATGTCGACGCCGGAGCAATGGCGCATCGATTCGCGTCACCGATGCTCCCGCTTTAATTAACAAGGAAATTTGTAATTAAAACATACAATGCGGAGGAAGTTGGGGAAACAGGCGATATCCAAACACATCGCGCCTGTCAGCGGAGTTTGCGCGGGAAGCACCACGTTGCTATCTCGTTCAACGAAATGCACAGATTCAATATTGTTTATCGTGAGGACATTGAAACAAAATAAGATGTGAACAAGACCATTCAGCTTTGTCATAATAGCATGCAGACTACGTTCTTGTGATCTTCCCGAATCTCCCCTATTCGAGAAGATCACAAGAACGTAGTTAATGTTGGTCATAAATTTATGACAACGCTCGGTTGATTACTCACCGCCAAGGTAGCAGACTACAGCGAGTAGCACCACAGACAGGATGATGAAGATGATAGCTGTGCACTTCCAAGAGCATTTCCGCTGCTTCTTGAACCTGCGAAATATTCGAAGTGTCAGTCCGATGTCGTAAACACTTACTGTGAATCTATAGTAGGCCCGTCAGCTTCAATCCACTTGCACTCGTCTCATGTCTACATTTCACCCAAGTGGAGCGTGCGTGCGTGAGTTGTGCGTGCAAGCGTGTGTTAGTGTGCGCTCGTGCGTGTGCGTGTGCGTGTGTGTACACATGTGAGTGCGTGCGTATGTGCGTGCATGCGTGTTGTACACACGTGAGCGCGCCCTGCACGCTGCTGCTGCTGATGATGATGATGACGACAACGACGACGACGATTGCGATGACGATGACGGCGACGATGATGATGATGACGACGACGACGACGACGACGACGATGATGATGATAATAATAATAATAATGATGATGATGATGATGATGATGATGATGATGATGATGATGATGATGATGATGATGATGATGATGATGATGATGATGATGATGATGATGATCTTATCGTTACCTGTAGCTGCCCGTCGACAGTCGGTTTTGGCCGTGGTTCACCTGTCTCAGATTGTTGCGCACGGGCACAGAGAAGGCGGACAGTGGCACGGAATTGGTCAATGTAGCACCAGGAAAGTACGGTGGCCTGCAAGACAGTCGACAATCATCACACTGTGACCGTACATGCTAGTTATTACACCTGTAACAGAGCATTATAACAGAGGACCCTTTTCCTCTGCTTAATACAAATATCACTATATAGGGTGTATATGCATAGTTAAAACATATAACGCAGCGCAAAAGGTATCGTCTATATAGTGCATAAAAATAATATAATACATGCATATATATATATATATATATATCAGGAGTAGATAATAGGGTAGATCCCTATTATCTACTCCTGATATATATACAAGAAAACACAAAAAACAGACGGCGAAGTATATACAGAGCGTGTATACGTATGTATATATAGATTAACAGTAATGGAAGCTGCGGGTAATGAATGAATACAGTCTCGCTCTTTCTCTTTCCCCCGGCAATTAACGATTACAAGAGGAATAGACTAAAGAGAATGCAGATTACAGGCTAGGCCGCGGCGCTTTTGCTGGGAAAACACTCTGACGTACGGACGTCCGCCCCTTACTGCATCATGCTGCGTAATATCCGTAGCGGGGTATAGTATCTATACCGCTATGCGGGGCAATGCAGTCTTTCTCGCGACCGACGCCGCGGTCACACAAAAGGCGCTGCTTAACACTTCGGCTGCGGCGGCATTCTCTATAAGAAGCCCCCACCCCTCACTTGCATAATCCGCCTGGGAAAATGCGCTCGCGCGATCGGCCGAGATTTGCCGACATGCGAGAGCGCCGGAGAGATTTTCTCGCATCGATTTATGACCGCCATTAATATATTTCGCTTCCGATGACCGCGTTCGCTATGCAACGCGCCCCCTATCGTTGTCACACTCGCGGGCCTAGATTGATATAGGAGGCATACAACAGTAAGCCTCCGCAAATTGTTGCACTATTTCGTTTCTAGAAAGGGCATTTTTTGGCTTTTTTTCGCCGAAATTCGGCACTAGAGTGCAAAATACGTTCGCACAGCTAGACGTATAAAGCTAACGAGAAAGTAGCGGCGATTTTGCTTTGAGATGCTCGTAAATCAGTAGGTATGAAGATTGCGACGAGCGTTCGTGTGTGTCCGTGCATCTATAGGGCCGGAGGAGTGCACGAGAGCGCATATACGGTCACCTAATATTACAGTCGGCAATCTCTCCCGCTCTAGCGTACGCAAGCTGAGACATCGGCGGTGCGCATCCCCCCTCATCTGCCTTTCTTTCACCCCCACCCCCTCGCTTCATCTCTATTTCGGATAAATAAGTAGAGCAATTTTCGCGCGAAGAAAGGCGGGACTCGTTCTACCCTGCATGCGATGCGATGTCATTTACACTACTTACGCTTTCTATATCATATTGTTGCAAGCTCGGCGTAGTAGGCCACAATTTTTACCCTTGGAGTAATGGACGACCGGGTAATAACCGTCAGGAAACAATAACTAGAGGGCGCGCACGCACAGCGAATGACAACGACTGTGCGCGGCTGCGTGTGATAGCAGACGGTCTCTCACCGGTGAAAAAACCCGGTCTCCGGATGACGAGAACAAGCGCTGATAGTACTGCCAAGATCGTCTGCCTGCGTGTGGCCGACGCTACGTGCACTTATAGATGGCGCGAGGTTTTTCTTAGAGCAGGTGCACACCGCCGGCCGTCCGCGATAGTATGTGCGGAGGAATTTAGGACGCGACGGGGGGAAAAACTCCGGGCGATTCCGCGCATAAAAACCAGAGCTTCGCGGCTGCAGAATGGTGAGGTTCTCCACGGTTTCCTCCAGGATATTGTAACCTTGTTTCCTCGACTCCATTGTAGCGGCTGACACTACGCGTGAAGCGTGAGTGAATTCGCACCTGTGCCCTCACACCCCGCAGAGATAAATCTAGAGGTAGTCTGTGACTAATATCGACTAGTTAAACCGGTAAAGATCGGGCAAACTCGGTGGAACCAGCGGGGGCGCTGCCTTCGTTGTAAATCATCATCATTGTGATGCTGCTTTCAAGGTTAGACTTCCGCAGGCGAGACGGCGGTATTAAGTAAAGAATATAATCTCGTGCATTATTACGTGTGAGAAAAAAATTACGGATTCTTGAGAAAACATCTGGCGATGCAGCGCGGTGTTGTTGTGCGCAAAAACATTGTTGACAGATTCCAGAACAGAGGCGCGACTCCCGGCAAAACTTTTAGCCAGCGAATGAACATCTGCGAAATCCGCGTGCGGATGAGTTTACATCATCATCTTCTTATATCACGTCATACAACATCGGCATCCACTCTACTTATCACTCCCTCCCCTTCCCCACCACCACCACCATCACCTCTCATCCGACCACTATATAGATTTCGCAACTTATAACCCGTTCTCAGCGGTGTCCATTCCAGAATATATATTTCATCAGCCTCTCCCCTGTCCCGCCCCTTATCCCTAGCTGCGCAATACTCTTCGACCTGTCCTATATAGATACTCTGGCATACATTCCCGCGCGGGATCCCCAGGGGGAAAGGTCAGGCAGCAAGCAAGCACGCTCTCCGTCGGTCGAGCGCTTTCCCGAAATTAGTAAACAGGAGGATGAGAGGCGCGGAGTAAACACGGCGGGCTTGTTGTGAAAGGCAACACGACAGAATCCTGCTCGCGAATCCAATTGCAAACAGATCCATCGCCTGGGCGTGGGGGTCGCGGGGAGCAGGTGCCAGTGTGTGTGTGTGTGTGTGTGTGTGTGTGTGTGTGCGTGCGTGCGTGCGTGCGTGCGCGCGCGCGCGTGTGGGTGTATCGGAAAGCTGTTGTGTGTTGGCCATCGTTAGGCAGCAGCGGTAAATTCAAGCCGCGTAATGGCAGAAACGCGAAATTGGTCAAGATCAACATTGACCAGGCGCGCCTGTGAGGAACAGAGCACCGAGGTCTAGCATTATATCATTACCCCGCGCTTCCGGCACGATGATGACTCCAGGCGTGACTAACCACCTCCATCTCGCGATGGGAGATGTGCATATACCGCATAGAGATAACTAACCGGGAACCAACGCGCCCCCCCCCCAAGACTGTGTTGTAAGCAGGTAGGTGTGTTCCTAACACATATCTTCAATGGGAAATCGCCCAAAACTCATAGGAATCTCATCGAAGTGTTTTTTGAACTTATTTATTTACTTGGATTTATTGAGAGTTCAACTGACACATGATCTAAATATCATGGCTAAGACTCTTTTATCGAAATTTCACATTCTGTAACTCTCAATAAAAAATACATAATAAGCAACTATATTGAATAACTATATGTTAAGCATTATATATAATGTACATAAATATATAATATATTAATATATTTAGGTAAGCAACTGAATATAACTATGAGATATTGTTCGACACAGCTGTGAGAGATCCCATCTGCAAATGACTGCACATTGCTACTATACAACGTTTTATGCAATAAGCAGCCAAACTCGGGTGTGTCGGGTGTCAAGTAACACTCACCTATCTATGTCTTGGTGTCCCAGTTGACCGTGGGTGTTCAGTGACATCACGTGAGGAGAGGGAGGCAGATGATTGGCTAGCATTTGCTCGTTCTGCCCGGGACTCAGCGGCTGCTTCGATATGTCTGCGCATGTGCAACAACGATTAGCAACAGTCGACACGTCATCAACTATTGGTTGCGCAAATATATTGCACAAACAAATAACAATATGAACAAGTTTTATGGTAAATGGGCTGCTTTATTTCCCAGCTTACAATAAAACAATATACTACTCTATTGTATAGGACTACAAAAGGTATGCCAACGTAAGCGATGTGCAGAATTTTGTTGAATTAGTAGTCATGACCTTTGTACAGTAACTTATTATAATTCACCGCCTATAATTTGCTCTTTACTATATGTAATGTAGGTAGTACATCTTACTGCATTTTGTTGGTGACTTTATCTAGTGTAGTCCGTACTTATAATCTTCCCAAATTTTTGAATATGATCCAAAATATGCTTTGAATATGTTCTTATTAGTGTGTAAATCCTGTATGTGTCTACATATTTGATCAGCTATATGTGTAAATGTATGTACTAGTGTCAAATCTGGAAAAAATAAAATAAATATGGGGTGCGCGACGTGACTACGTCATCACCGGCACACGAATTAAATGTACGGCCGGGAGTGATTTCGAGTGTCTTAGCGCTATGGTGAAGCTTGAAATGATTTTTCACGCTGACTATCCTGACCTTTGGGCGTGACTACTAAAAACCTGGTGTACGGTAATTCCTCGCGTTACGATAACTCGGGTTACGTTCATTCGCCCGCACGTGATTGCTAGATAATGACCACTCTACTCGCGATACGAAACGAAGATTCGCTTTTGCGTAATTTTTCAAAGAACGAAACGGGGTTTTTACTAGAAGACTCCCTTCCCCAGCTTACATCATCGCATAATCATACGTTTAACAATGTTTCGCGTAGCGCGGTGCATTATTGTAAAAGTATGCGTCTCCTTCGCGCACCAATGTTTGTTGGTATTCCCCGAACCATGCCAATAACGTCGCGTTTGCTCAAGCAAATTATAATCGCAAACATGACCCCTCTTTCAAGGATGTTGACCGACGACAGACAATTGTTTACAAATATCAACACTACTCCCCACCCACCCACCAGCCACCCGCCCGCGCACCAAAACCCCGAGGAGCTTAATTTGTTGATCTGGTCAGAAACGCAACTCTCGTTATCCGAGTAGGGTCAATATAAACCGCCGCGCGGTCCATACGGACGCTGTTCCGATTCGGACTGAAGTGGTGTTCGGTATGTCAGATAGGTCGAGTGTCCGCTCTCGTATTTATAGCTAGACCGTGCCGACATCGGAAACGCAAATAAACGTCTTCGGGGGAGTAGAGGGGGATGCTGCGTGTTGCGGCAAACAATAAATGTTCGATGCGAGTAAAGACCCGCACACTGTATACGAATGCTGGCATACGAATATCGCAGGGTGGCATGCACGCATGCAAAGCGCAGATAGACAGAACACATTTTTAATGCGGAGAGAGAATACAAATGTCGCATGCAGCCGACTGCGCGAGAGAGAGCGCGCGCGCGACCGATTTTAGAATTAGGAGCGCACATGATGACGAGGAAGGATTATCAACACCCAGCACTAAACTGTGAAACGGCCGTCCACACGCGACCGGCGTTAGAATAATATTACGCGTAAGCACCCTAGCTGACATACTCAGGCTCCTATCCCACGTTATACTGCCTCGGGGCGGGTGCGGGGACCATCATATCAGAGTTAAAATTGGAACGTTACTACGGGCCGACAATGTCTATTCGCCTTCGCATTTCGCTCGCTACGGAAATATTGGAAATTCGGTGAAAATTCAATTTCGGAAAAATGGGAACTTTGCCGAATGGTAGCTAGTTTCTTTCGGAATAATCTATACGCGACGTTAGAACTGAACCAGGCTCTCTACAACTTCAGTATATGTGGCCAGTAGTGGTCAGTATATGTGTTAAGATGGTTATATTGGAACGGTTACGGCTGTCTCGGCAATGATTACCGATGCCTACCTATCCCTACATGATAGCAGCACACGAGTTAATATTAGCGAGTGGTTGGTTATATTCACAGCGAGGGAGCTGTTACTTGCAAGAGGCACACTGAGAGCTGAACGCGAGGCTACGGTAGATGGGTCGGACACGGGAGAGAGAAGCCGTCGGGGGAGGGAGGATGGCTGGGGCGCATACCTGGAGGGAAGTGTATGTTGCCGGAGCTGGTTTTCACGAGCAGTGCCGGCTCAAAGGACGCCGCGCTGCCGCCGCTGTCCGTGTCGTGCAGCGTACCTGCATTGTCAGCAAACACACCGCGCCGTGTGAGAAACACACACACACACACACACAGCAGTCACACTCACAGGCGGCAGGCTCTTTACTACTCGCGGGATCAGTGTGTTAGTATTGCAGCGGGGTGATAGAGCAGAGGGAGCAGCGTAGTGTCGTCTCTAGCTATACGTGCATAGCGTACGATGTACAGAAGCTGAGACATGACTGTCCGTAACTGTAGGAGCTGAGTCATTAACCTACTTATCTGCAGGAGGTGAGACATTATTCTTCATAGCAGTGGCTCATGAAACATTACTGTCCTTAACTGTAGGAGCTGAGACATTAACCTACGTAACTGTATGAGCTGAGACATTACTGTCCGCAACTACAGGAGGTGAGACATTACTCTTCATAGCAGTAGGTGATAAGACATTACCCTCTCTAACTGTAAATCTGAGACATTACTCTTCATAGCAGTAGGTGATAAGACATTACCCTCTCTAACTGTAAAGCGGAGGTATAACCCTGCATAGCTGTAAGTGATGTGACATTATCCATCCCACCACGTGCAAAACTTGAGACATCAGTTACTCCATCACCCCTCAAATCGGGAATAACAAACACCCCACGACCCATACGAGCTGAGACGTCACCACGCTGTACGATAAAGCCATAGAGTTGTTATCAACATTGCATCGAAGTGTTATTACTAAGCGCGACTCGATCGTCTAGCTATACATGCTGTTGGTTATAGTCACACGAAGACAGAGCGCTGCGACATCACATCGTACATGTTAATGTGCGTCCGACAGAGAGAAGCACCTATGGAGAGTGTTAGTGCGACGTCTGCCGCAGACGGAGCGACCCTACATGCGAGAATCCAGAAAGAAACACGACACACGCAAAGCCTACGGTTACACACGACGACCGAGTGACAACAGTGACTCACAAACATCCATCCATACATACAGTAACATACATACATACATACATACATACATACATACATACATACATACATACATACATACATACATACACACACACACACGACAGCACACACACACACACACTACACTACACTACACACACACACACACATACATACATACATACATACATACATACATACATACATACATACATACATACATACATACATACATACATACAGAAAGAAGGAGAGAGAAGGAGAGAGAAGGAGAGAGACAGAGACAGAAAGAGAGAGAGAGAGAGAGGGGAGAACACTGTTCTGAAGACAGAAGGAAGCTGTACCAGAGTGGTCGCTGCTAGATGCCATGTGTCGGGGCGTCGTGCGTGGCGCACCGGGGTTCCTAGGTGGCAGCACTGGCGGCAGCTTTGGCTGGTTCATCAGCGGACTAGCCGGGGTCAGCGGAGACTTCCTATCAACTGTGGACGGATCTATGTATTCTGCAAAGTAAATTTTTACAGTAAGCTACCGGCCGGACCTGCTAGTATATGGCAGCGCTCGTAGTTAGAGCCCCCAGGGACGTTCCCAACGCTATTCTCGCCAAGCCGCATAAAGGCGCTTAACGCTATGTTTGCTATTCTCGGAAACTTAATTTACAGCCATACCAACTATAATTCTGTATTCAGTAATCCACGCGCAGCAACTCGTCTAGGTTTTTAAATACAATTTCTCCGTAATTTATCGACACCACTATGGCGATAAATTAAATTTCGCGGAGGAAATACCATAAGAAATGTTTCAGGCCAGTGCAATAAAGACAGCCAAAAAAATTCGCAACTCGACTTGAAAACATTAATGAAGAACGAGTGCGCAACTAAAAACCCATTAGTCACCAAGTCTCAGACATACATGCGCATATAGCGACTAAAATGAGACCTTGAGAAAAATTCCCCTTTCTAATCATAATATAACATTCAGCCAACTACTGCTAACCTATAACACATCAACAAAACGTTGCAGCCCGTCTACGCATACGTCCCTCAAAGACACGCGTGTTTATTTGAGACAGCGGCTTGACAGTTTTCACGAATTATGAACCTAAATGCGACGATGCTAACTAGTCCGACGCTTGTATTCATGCGCGCCTCAGCACAGGCTGTCAGCACCGGGACTAGATCCGATTAAAGCCATTGATCTTCGCATTATTCAACAATTGTCGGGGAATTCTACGGCGAATCTGCCTCCACGAACGGCTTACTCGTGCACGCAGAAACCGAGAAGGAAGATCTTAAGCAAAAACGCAAAGGTTTGGTTGAAATAGGTTCGTGGGTACCGTCGTTGAGACACCGGTAGGGCCCTTCACTAATCAGGAGGAGGTCCCACCACCAGCAGCAGCAGCAGCAGCAGATAGGTCGGTAGAATTCAAGCAATGAATTTCACAGAGCGGGGAGAGGGAAAGCATGTGCAGTGGAGCCCGTTCGCACCCGATTGCCACTGCATAAGCGCCTTAAATAGACAGCTCGCTATAGACCACCGTGTCCATCCATCACAGCATCCCACATAGGTCACTCTGTTGCGGACAGCGGACCTTAGCATGACCACACACCTTCGTATATGTATATATATATATATGTATATATCATAAGGAGTTATTGCAAACTGGTTATTCCGCCCTCAGAATTGTCATATATATCTATATGGGATATTAAG